TCCCCATTGGAAACTATCAATTCATCCCATCCACAGAGTTCAGTAAGATAGACTGGTACAATGTAGATACTCAGGGTGATACAGGTTATATCTTGGAAGTGGATTTGATGTATCCTCCTCACTTACACAAATCTCATGCAGCTTTCCCTATGGCTCCAACTCATGATGATATCTCTTTTGGGGAGTTTTCAGAGAAACACAAAGAATTGCTGGCTCATTTCCTCAAAAAAGACATGGATAAACTTCCTACAAAATCATCTGGTAGAAAACTGTTTTGTACCTTGAAAGACCGTACCAATTATGTGGTTCATTTCAAAACCTTACAGTTGTATCTAAAGCATGGTTTAGTGTTAAAGCAAATACACAGAGTTCTCAAATTTACCCAAAGCCCATGGTTGAAGCCCTATGTGGAGCTCAACTTGAGAAATCATAAAAAATGCAAAGGACGATTGTGACAAAGATCGTTACAAACTGATGAACAACTGTGTGTTTGGACGTTTCTGCATGAATAAACGCAAACACAAAACAGTGCAGCTGGTCACCCAACAAGCAAAACTTCAAAAACTGTGTGCAAAATCCAACTTCAAAACTTCAAAATTTATTCAGAGGATGTGGTGGCAGTAGAAATGGAAAAGGTGTCTGTTCGATTAGATCAGCCTATTACTGTTGGGTTTACCATTCTGGACTTGGCCAAATATGAAATCTATTCATTTTACTATGACATTATGCAAAATCAATATGGACATGAACATTTGGATTTGCTCATGACAGATACTGACAGTCTGTTCATGCAAGTCCATGCCCCTCCGCATGAACCTCTCCTGGACCCCTATGTTTTTATGAAGCGAAACTTGGAGTTATTTGACACTTCCAATTATGCACCAGAAGATCCAAAAGGATTGTATTCTGATTGCAATCGCAAAGTCACTGGGAAGATGAAGGATGAAGCAGGTGGAAACATTATTTTAGAATTTTGTGGTTTGAAAAGTAAGATGTACTCTTTCTTAATGCAAAAAGACAAAGAACTCATGGAGAAAAAAACAGCCAAAGGTATAAAGAAATCTGTCATCAAAAAATTTCTCAGACACGAAATGTTTAGAGACTGTCTGTTTGATGGGAAACCTGTCTCATGTTCCTTTAATCTCATTAGGTCACATAATAACACTCTGTACACGGAACATCATACCAAAGTAGCATTGACAGCCATAGACAACAAACGTTTTATTTTAGAAGATGGTATTTATAGTGTTCCTTATGGTTATTCACCAGAATAATTGCTTACTGAACCATTAGGAAAGCAGTAGATGAAATCACAGTAGAGGAAATCAACCTCAGGTATGTTCCACTTTGTGTTTCCACTTCTTTAAAATTATGTTCATAATTATACACTTGATCATCAACTTTTTAGTTTGACATTGCAGTTACCATGTCTGTTCTTTTTTCATTCACAGATGGAACAACCATCATATATCTGCACTACCTGTCACGGCTATCTACCTGTGGATGCTGATGGGGAAGACAGTTCAGGACTGTTTACGTATGTCTATTGCAATACCAAGCTGAAATACACCTACCATAGATTCATGGTTCATACTGACACCTGTCCTGTGAGAATACAAGTGCATAAGAAGAAATATGAGAAAAAGCCACGTGTGTGCACGTGACATAGGATACACCACAATGACTGAAGGTGTTATTCATCCACTGTGTGTGTTTATGTGCACGATGATGTGCTAATTGCTCTATGAGTCACTGAGCAAAGACAACAACAACAATAAAAAAATGTAATTTATGTGTTTATTGAAAAAAGCATGAACACTACAGAACCTCTAATGCTCTCAGCTTTGTTGCTCCAGGCACACCATTAACTGCTTTTCCTTTGATATATAAAATCTTTGACTGACTTTTGTGTTTTGTTCTTCTTTTCAACAGTTGTTTTGGTGCATGCAAGCGCTTTAACAGTTTATGAAACTTATTATATCCTGGTGGTGTATGTTTCCTCTTAGGAGACAGGATCATAAACCGAATTAAGTCCACAATGTTGGTACCATACAACACTTTTCCACTCTCCAACACCAGTTGCAAATTTTCTGTTAATCCAATGTTTCCAGCTGTAATATTGTTTTTCAAAAAGAACCACATTGACATCAGCTTGCCAACAGAATTTGAAGATGAAATGCCTTGAATGAGTTGATCTGGAACTCGTAACATCACATTAAGATCTGGCTGTAGAGATGAGTCATGCTCTTCACTACCATCACTCACTGTCACTGGACTCACTGGAGGTTTCCCTGTCAGATTCACTGTCGGATTCACTGTCGGATTCGCTTTCTCTTGTTCTTGTTTTGACACCAGTCTCTGGTAATTTTCTCTTGTCAAAAGAACCATTGGCTTGGACATGATGTAGAGTGGTGAGATAACTCCTTATGCAAATAGGTAGAATTGAATGGTGTAAGATGAGGAGTTCACGTTTTCTGTGTCTGCTGACAGCCTTGTTGGCTAACATGCGAATGACCCTCTTGCGACGAGACAGCCAGGTTTTATGTTCATTTGTCACCACTATGTTACCCATGAGAATATTATACACAAGAGTAAGAATTGATAGGAATTGTTCTGAAGAAGCATGAGTCAGCATAGCTTTTCTCTGAGCAGGATTAGCTTCTGCTAACACTGATAAGAAACTAACATGATGTTTTATCAGCCCACTCATGTTGATGCTGTAGGGTAGCTGTTCCACTTTCAAATGAAGAAACACATCTTTAGTGATTGTTATTTATCTAGACATCCTCTTCATTGTCATCTTCTTTGCACTGGCTACAATCATGTGGAGGATCCCTCTGCCAACTTTCCAACAAATCTTCACCCTTAACAGACACAGAGGTACTGTGTTTTGTGTCTTCATAATCTTGTAAAGTCATAGCCTTTTGGAAAATATTATTAGCAACCGTTCGGTCATTTTCGCTACTGAAGCATTCGTAATCTACCCTTCCATCTGTCCATATATCTTCATCCAGTATGTTGGGGCACAGTCTGTTATTCCACAACAAGTCTTTAATGACTTCCGTCCATGAGTCATAGCGATCTTCTATTTGTAAAGCAGCATAATCGTCTCCCACACTGACACTGTAAACAACATTCTAGAAGCTGTTTCATTCAATGTTGTACCATTCTTTCTGTGTTTTTCAATAATGTCAAACAAACAATTCCTTTCTTTCACTGCATACATTTTGTTTTGCTAAAGGAGGCGAGCCAACTGTAGAATGACTGAAGTAAAGTGAACTGGTTGTTATATAGAAAACTATGATGATGAATTCATAGTTGTATGTTTTTGGAGCTGCTATCATGTTGATATAACCACAATGTGGAGACAGTCTGAAATGTTCAATCAGAGGATCATCATCTGGTATCCAGGAATGGGCTCGCAGTCTACATTGGAAACAGTAGACTTTATCAGATTGTCCCGTGTAAATAAATCCAGCTTCAGCCATGACTTTTAGGTGACTGTTTCATTTGTACTGGCCAAGTCTTGAATGAAGCCAGTCTATCAGTAAACTTTTTTCCATCAGGAGAATTATGTGTTACACCAACACAATCGGTCTCCACATCAAAGTGTCCACAAACATCCATAGCTCTGTTCAGTTCAGTGGTTGTAAACGAAATGAGGTATCACAGGCATGTATGTGTATATTTAGTGAAGCTATTTCTGTGGTAGGTAGACTGTACACATCTCATCGTCAGTAAATATGTTGGTTCGTAAACGTCCATACTGTTCATCAGCATAAGGTGACACATCTAAGACAAGATAACCATATTTCTTTCCTCCTACTGCATCTTGAAACGATTCAGCAAAATACTTAGCTTGACCTGGAAATACTTGCGATGCTAAAATCTTGTATTCATGTGCTGAACGTGGATTGGACAACAAGACAAAGTAATGTGTGTTCAGTGACATTGTTCTTGCATATTCGCCTTTAGGGTAGACACTTTGCATAATGTTGATCACTGTAATCCCTAAATGATGCGATAGTGTGGTATACAGATCTAAAATCAAAGGACGTTTACACATTTGTTGCATGTAATCATCCAGGACAAGTAAACATTGTTTGTCTGATTCATGAGAATAAGCTTTCAGTTCCTCTTCAGTAGGCAAGTGATCTTGAAATCTAATATTGGAAACACTTTTTTCAAGCTCTGAATAAATGTCTTGCCACACAACATAACAGTAAATAATCAAGTGAGGTGGTGGATCAAACATGGTATCTGCTTGTTTTATAAGACGAGCAGTCCAAACACTTTACCACTAGAGGATCCACCAGCTACAGAAATTGTAGTAGGCGTATGAAAGGGTAACAGACATTCTTCCATGACGACCTGCACACTTCACCAATGTATTGTACTAGTGAGTTAAAACCTCACATGATGACGTTTTTATACAAAGAACAACTACAGGATTTAAACTAAACTACTTTTTATTAAATGTTTTCGTTCCATGCAACTATAACACATAGTTTCATTGAAAACAGGAAGGAGTACAATATTTAAAATAGTGACAAATATATCGTGATACAAACATATCATTCCAATTCAAGTTTTTACATCAAACTGATGATAAAAGTGGTGCAAAGTCCAGTTAGCTTTAAATGCACACAACAGATAATACAGACAATATGATCCACAGACATTTGAATCTACTGATTGTAAAGGTATGGTACTGCAGGTGTAGAATTGAACATATGACTTTAAATAGTCATCAAATGTTGTACTGATAGGTTCAGCTAGACTGTCAAACAGTTCTGCTCTGTTTCCTTTCAAATACATAGCAACCCAATGACGGCCATCTTTACTTCTCACATCAGTATTAACAATTAAACCAACACCTCTCATCAACATTGAAGATGTAAGCACAGGTAACATGTCTCTAGCATACACTCCTAAGACATGGTTTCTAAGCACAGGATCGCATTGAATAGCACATAACAATTCAGAGGCTCTCATCTTCTTCACTTGACATACACATTCCTGGCTTGGTCAATTTCTATGAGTGAGGTCCTTTCTGTCATGACAATACAACTCAGTGATTTGGTTAAGGCTGCATTGAACTGAATTTCTAGTGATACATTTCCCCGTCGTACTAGACTGAGATGTTCAGTGCCAGTTTCGTTCAGTTCGAACACAAAAAGGGCACTTCCAAGTAAAAATTCTTTTCTGCTGATGAAGTTGCCTTTACTTTCTCTTTTTACATTCACCCCATCAAACAGATTCAGATAGGTATCTGCATCATCTGCACTGGATGATCTCCCAGGGAGACTGACACCATTGACATTCAGAGTAACCTTTTTGATCATACTCAATTGAAAGTTGTATGGGTTCTTCACCAAAGAACCGGTCATACTACTGCTCTCAACAAATGCAACTGTGTATCGATGGGCAACAGGATTTGAGATATTCTCAATTGTGAATGATTCAGTAGACACAGGAATAGTGGTTGATTTGACTTCTGTCTTCACATAGGGATACAGTGCATTGTTTGGTTTCCCATTGGTCTTTTCTTCAAACAAGGTGTTATGAGCCAGAATTAAAGCTGGGTTCACTTTCAGATAACACACTTTAAGTGACGCATCTAAAATGCTTATTTTGTATTTAGTATTAGCAACTCCACTCATAAGACAAAACTGAGGATCGGTTCTGTACAAGGTTACATTCAATTTTACTCCATTAATCAAATAACGATCCATGTTGAACACATCTTCAAACAAATTGCCAACCATTGTGATCTCTTGACTTTTAGCAATGTAGTCACCACGTTTCAACAATCCATCATTACCACCAGCAACAGCATCAGTTGATTCGATGTCATCATTGTCATTACCAGTATCTTTATAGAACAACTGTGATGTTAACTGTGAACTTTTGGCGTCTGCTCCATAATTCAACAATGTCTTGAACATGCTTTTATAGGGATAGTGATTATTTGCACTCGATACCAATTGATTTCCCAGGGACACCGACACTTGAGAGAACAGGGACTGTAAAACAAGTTGATAGGCCCCACTTTTCTCATCCTCAGCCAGTGGAGATGATGTAACATCGTCATGCACCACTTTAAGTTTCACATGTAGTCTTGTTCTCTTCAAATCAATGTACTCGCTACCCTGATTAGGGATAGCAAATTCCAATGGTGACGAGTCGTTGATTTGGCTTAATGGACGTACATCGTTGAAATAGAACATCTCTGTGGTTGTTGTGTAACTTGGAAGCGAAAAAAGAGAGTAAGAATCAGGGAGATATTCCGAAAAGTTACTGCTGGATAAGAGCGCCATTGTGTTAACTGAAAATATCGTTTCCTGCAACAGGTGTGCACATTAAAACATTAGCTGTCTTAGAAGGAGTAGTGTTCTCTGTCTGACGTATCCTCTTGGTAGTGATGATCTGTTCTCCTGCAGCTCTTTTTAAAGACTTGCGTCGTCTCTCTTTGGCATCTGCTTTCTCTACTGTGCTCTGAGTCTCTGATGTCATTTGCAATTCAACTGAAGGTCCTTCTTCTTTTCTTTTCACTGCATGAGATGGTATTACTTTAGCTGATAATTTTCCATTGTGGTATTGCTGGTGACTTGTGCTCAGTTTCTTGAAGTAATGTTTCCAATTTTCATAGTGAGGTACATAGAGAGGATAGTCTTCCATCTTAACTTGCAAATGGATATCGCTGTAAGTGAAGTGTTGCACTGGTCTCCTCGGCTCAAGAATGACAAGGCCACTTCATCACTGGGTTTTATAACAATTTCTATGACAGGTGATTCTTTCAATACCACATGAATATTATATTCGTTTGCAAAAGTGAAGTTAGGTCCCAACCTCAAGTCAATGCGTCTCAGCAATGGTAACTGAGCATCTCCTACCAGTGAACTATCACACAAGTTGCACAGTATGTTTACATATGGATCTTGGATTTTGTCCACATCAGTCAGTTTCCCAAAATTCAACTCTGTTAATGAAACAACCCAAAATCCATCCAACACCAGTCTTTGATTCAGTTTCACACGGAAATGATAGGGGCTGTTGTCCTTATAATAGTTTTCTTTTGAATCTGAAGACTTAAGGAAAATATATTTCTCCATCACAAATCTTTCAACTGACTTTCCTCCACAAAAGAATCAAACGTACTTGGCCATCCTAACCATCGCACAAGAACATAGGTTTTACCTCCTCTACGTTGACGTTTCAGAATTTTTTCCACCTGCCACTCAATGTCCTCACCTTTGTTTACTTTTTGAAGTTCTTGAGTATAAAATGTTCCTTTAATTGGTTGATCATGAAAGTCTCTAATTCTGTACAAGGGTATTTCTTGCCTTTTGTAGTGATGAGCTATTTTGAACAATTCTTGAGTCCAGCGTAAATCAAGTTCTTTACTGAATGGTTTCCTCAGATATGGAATGCGAACAATATCTCCAACCTTATATTTGAATTTCTTCACTACATACTTGGATTTACTCTTGAGGTGTTTCCTCAAAGGTTTGACATATAGGTGATGCCATACTTTCAATTCATTGCTTTTATTCACTTGTGCTGGTGATAAATAAGGCAGTGATGAATGTAAAGTGTGATTGTAATTCTGTACCAGTTGAGGTAATATAGAAAGGTATTCTTTGGTGTTGTTATGTGTCATATAACGCGTGATCAAAGATTTCAGTGTTCTGTTGAAACGTTCCACATAATTGCTTTTAATGTTTTCATTACGTGTGATGATGTGGGTGATGTTTTCCTTTTCAAAAATGATTCAAATTCTCCTCGAAACTCAGATCCTGCATCAGTACGAACTTTCTTTGGTCGTCTTGATTTGAGTATCTTTTTGAAAGATTTCACCACTGTAAGCGGTCTCTTATTCTCCAAAGGCGAGACAAAAGCATAGCGTGAAAGAATGTCCACGACTACCAACAGATATCTGACACCATCATTCCATTTCATGTACCTTGTCATATCTGCTAAATCTGCATCAAACATTTCATTCATTGTATTAACTCTTACTTTCATCCTTTTAAATTTATGTCTAACTGGTTTGTGTAAACTGTAAGCATCTTGCTCATTCACAAACCGTTTCACCTTCCTCAACCTGATATTGTGTTGCTTGTTTTTCTTCAATTCATCACGCAGTTTAGATGGACCATAGAAAGCACCTGGGTTTTGTGGGTTGAAATAATACTTTTCTAATGCACTGTTCTTCTTTCGAGAACTCATGATGAATTGAAACAAGGCAATGTGTTGAACAAGATTTTATACAACTAAAAAAGAAGTGAACAGAATTTATTTCACCACAGAAAATTCTATACATAACAACATCAGTTGAACATAGCAATCATCATACACAATAAGATAAGAACCAATGATCGTCATCTCAGTCATATGTCTTCTGTTGGAATGCAACCACTTATACTGTGAGGATATGTCCATGAAAGTCCTGAGATATCATGTCATCCACCATCCCCTCTGGATCATGATAACACATACAGTTCATCAGATCCATACAACATACATGACACCGAACCTGTCCACTATTGCAACTGATATATCGCAACATATTATTATGACAGCATACACTACAATTCTTTTGAAGAGGAGTTAGTTTGTGTTCTTCATAAGGATCATCCTCTACTGCATTTGACTCTTGTTGCTCAATATCTTCCATAAGCTGATTGTAATCCTGCCACCAGTCGTTTGGGGTAGTAGATTGACAGTCGGCTACGAGAGTGTCTTCATCCACAAACAAGTTGACTTCACTGGAAACATCCAGGTTAGCTTCAGTTGGAGGAGGTGAAATAGGCTCTATAACAAGCGATGGTTGACTTGAGTTCTTGTCCATTACCCTACCAACAAAAAGAAAAGAAAAAGATATGAATATATAACAAAAATTGTTGATGTTACAAATTAAATAGATAGAACACAGTCGCATGTAACACAAATATATACTTACTTTGCTTTCTTAACCTGCTGTTTCTTTGGTTTCTTCACACTGGGCTGAAACAGATCATCCTCCATTTTTCTGCTTCTCTTCTTTTTCTTAGCAACAACTGTTTTCTGTGTTGTTGCTGTCTCTGAAGTTTGCTCTTGAGCAGAGGAGAAAGATCCTATGAGATGAGTGTAATCCGTCAACCATTTCAAGAAAGCAGGTGACATTGGTTGAAGTTTCCCTTCTAAGGCTTTGGTCTTCTCCAACATATCCATATAGATGGTTTTGTACAACTCACTCGATCTCATCATAACTTCATGTAGATAAACCTGACTATCAAGAATATCCTTTACTTTCAGAAATGTATCATCAAATGTCTCCTCTGAGGAAAAAGCAACACGTTTCACATCCACACTTTTCTGTGCCATCATAGAGAATATGTAGGAGATAGATGATTTTCAACACCTTCTTGCCCCAAGTTGGTGATAAAACTGATTTGAAATAGCTAAAACGTTTGAGTGTAAGATAGGATTGTAGAGAATGGTTTGTCTGATTGGTTTATGTGTAATACACATTCAGTTTGATTGGTTAAGAGATATGGAATGATGAGAATTTTGCTTCAAGCGATTGAAATAGATGCAAATATGTGATGTCATTATAAACAATTCTGTGATAATATTTGAAATTTGTTAAGATAAGAATTTGGTTTTGTATAGAAGGAATGTGTATTGTGTAAATGTGGCACTTATGGAATGTGAGTTAGCGCACCTGTATATACCTGAGGGGCAGCTGTAGGAATGACGTTTCACCTCTATGGTTACTCCTACGCTCCTTAAGGAATGTCTTTGTCCTGCTCTATGCTCCTTAAGGAATTTCGTTTGAGCCTGTAGGAATTTCTTTTGTTGTAACAACTGAACCTATGGAATGTCATTCATAATGTAATGAACCTACATTCTTTAAGGCTGAGCCTGTAGGAATTTCTTTTGTTGTAACAACTGAACCTATGGAATGTCATTCATAATGTAATGAACCTACATTCTTTAAGGCTGAGCCTGTAGGAATTTCTTTTGTTTGGTTCAGGAATGCTATTGTTTGGGTGAGGAATTCTTTTGTGTGGGTATGAGGAATGCTATTGTATGTGTATGGCAGATTACTTATTACCTACTAGCAGTGTTAACCTTGTCAGCATATATATGTTTCACTGATTTAAAAATTCCAGTCGAGGGGCAGACGCCATTTTGTTTACATGTCATATAGTCGTAGCGATCTTTAAAATAAAATAAAATGATATTTTGTACATTTAATATGGCGGTAAGATAAATACGTTGTATGCTTCTCCCTCGAGTAATACGGTGTGATGTACGCCTATTTGTAGCAGTGTCATCCCTCGCCTACCGGCTCGGGTGACACTGCTACAGAGCGGCGTACATCAGACCGTATTACCCTCGAGAAAAGCATACAACTTATATTGTGATGCTTATGTTTTCGTGATCTATGACGTATGCGCTAAACCAAAAGGATCTTTTGATTAGCATTACTGAGGGTTTGCTATACAAACATAGCACTTTATAAAAAAGATAGCAACTGATTCAGATTTGAGCTTCCTCGATATTTATTTTATTTTCGAATTCTGGTCCATGTCTTATTTATGTACCCGAACAAAGAAGTGAACAGTCTTTAGTTAACAGTTGAGAGACTTTGCATTTCGTTAATTGAACTTTCTCGGATTAATAATGTTTACAGTTAATTAAACTAAGTTAGATGCATGTAATAAATAGAATATCTCACGTGTCCAGTGAAATATAATGTGTTATTTTCTCATCATTGCATTACAAATACATCATATTTCACTGGACACAGGAAATATCGTCCGTGTATCCGTCAAACATTGGTGGAGTGGCTAAAAGGGTTTATTGACTCTTTCGTTTTGTCCTTCGAGTTCCCCCACATGTGTAGAAACAGGTAGTCTATCTCTGACCCCCACTGAATCACTTTGACTCACTCACCCACTCACTCAGTTCATGCTTCCGAAACTACCATAGATACACATTCCTTCTTTGAGTGACATTGTATGATACACTGATAGGAATAAACACGAGGAAGGACACACAATTTGTAAAAGCCCTATGCTAAACTTGGTTAAACCACTAGGGAAGTTATGTCCATTGTTCTTGGAAGTGTTTTATTAGCATAACTGAACAACTGCCCAAGAGCAATTATTTCCATTGAAAAACAATAAAATTGTACTCATTTTGATAATTTTCATCATGCCTAATACATTACACGCGTATTAAATAAGTCTGCCCTCGTGGTGTAAGCCGTTTTATCACCCTCACTACGGTAGGTATTTAAATAACTACCTTGTAAGGGTGATTAACCTATACTTATACCTTAGTCCTGGTTAGTTCGTACATGTAGTTATGACACAAGATGTGAAAAGACAGTTAGTCAGATACAAAGTGGGGCGATCAAGGTTGACGTCGTCTCATTCGGTTTGATTGGATGATATGGAACCGCTTTACGCTTATGAAATGCCACGTTGGAAAGTATTTTTCATTCATACAAAATATGCATCGTCATGTAGAAATAATGTCAACACGAGAAGATAACACGTATGGATCATCCACTGAAAAAAACCAACCTTTTTATTTCAAAACAAGCACGTCACATGAGTGTGATGACCCAAGCTCCGTCGCCACTTTCATTTTGATTTAACGTGTAACATGCATCTTTGTGAAATCAAATCCGTTTAGAACGTGTAGGGTAATTGGACCCACGTTGCTTCGTCTGTGGCTTTAATGTCCATTTAAAGGGGTATGCTGTGCCTTTGCTGGGGTCAGATACCTCAGAAAGACCTCTCATTTTGTAATATGGTATCCAGCGTGTAGTATTCAGTGTCTCTCGTATACTATAGATGAGACTCCGGAATGTGCACCAGACGTCCGCCAGTTTGCCGTTGTGCACAGTATTCTGTCCTTGGGTTTGAATCCCGATTTATAAGCAATAGTCCGTCAGGGTGATCAGGAAGGACAGGTTGAATATTCCTGAAATATATCATTAAATATGTTATTTTGTTAGTCGCGAGCTCATCAAACACAAGGAACTTCACACTGTATTATACAAACTGTGATCATTGGGCTCTTACCTTCCATCACTGTTTTGTGTGTATACTGAGAACCAAATGTCCAGATGTGCCTATGGACAAATAAGGAGCGGTTTCGGAAAGGTGATATGGCGATCTCATTCGATACCTACAAGGAATATTGCAGACAGAGTGTACTGTTAAGCTTGTCTTTGCCAAATTTCATGTGAAAATAAAGTCCACACCAGAGGATGACGTATCGATCACCCATCGAAACAGATTCCATAGGGCGTAAAAGGCGAATGTTATATTATTGATAGAGTGAATGAGTGAGTTTAGTTTTACGCCGCACTCAGCAATATTCCAGCTATATGGCGGCGGTCTGTAAATAAGCGAGTCCCGACCACACAATCCAGTGATCAGCAGCATGAGCATCGATCTGCGCAATTGGTAACCGATGACAACCAAGTCAGCGAGCCTGACCACCCGATGCCGTTAGTCGCCTCTTACGACAAGCATGGGTTACTGAAGATCAGAATTCTAACCCGGACCTTCACGGGTGATATGATTGATATAGACAAGATGTACAAGTGTCACTGTAGTGACGCTGTACACGAGAATAGAGCGCACAGGACAAGAAATAAGCTGTGTCAGATAGCTAAACGCAATTCAACTGGATGCCTAAAATCAACGGGTGTACTTGTAACAGAACCTATGAAGATCCGGGTTTTCAGCAACCCATGCTTTTCGTAAGAGGCGACTAACGGGATCGGGTGGACAGGCTCACTGCCTTGGTTGACACATCGTATCCCAGTTGCGTAGATCAATGCTCGTGATATCAGTGAATTGTCTGGCCCAGACTAAATTATTTTCAGACTGCCATGATATAGCTTGAATATTGCCCTGTTAAAAACAAACAAACAATAAAACGTTGACACTTTTTATATCGTCCAATGGTGAATAATCAAATTCTCTTTACATATCTGCATGTAAGTGGCTCTGGGTCCCATGGTCTAACACGAGGGCCATTCTCACAAAGACAAAGGTTACCTGCTGAATAAATACACAATATCACCTCCTTTATATCATAAACAGAAGGGGGCGGTGGGGTAGCCTGATGGTTAAAGCGTTCGCTCGTCACGCCGAAGACCCGGTTCGATTCCCCCACATGGGTACAATGTGTGAAGCTCATTTCTGGTGTCCCCCGCCGTGATATTGCTTGAATATTGCTAAAAGCGGCGTAAAACCAAACTCACTCACTCACTCATAAACAGAAGAAAGACACCTTTCATTCAACATATGTGTTGGTTATGCTATGAACACCAGGTGTCCATCACTAATGGAACTAAGCATTATTAATTCCTGCATCCCTGGCATTAAATCACTAATAAAGAAGACATGATTACCTATATATGACCAATGATATTCACCATCCTCGCTTGAAATATTAAGGAAAATCTTTATAAATGTGTTTACTTGTGGATTAGAAATTGTATTGTCTACTTTAAAACAGAGAGTTTTTGGAGAGTTATGTTTTTACGTGTACAACCACGAGAATTTCCATAATAATAAATATTTACGGATACAAAGCCAAAAATTAAGTAAACCGCACTTGTAAAGAGGTGTCTTGAGATTTTACGATATAAAGCAACCGAGCGTTTTAAGGCATATAACAATTTATTTCAGTTTCCACAAGTGTTGTTTACAAGTTAGTGATTAGATTAAGGCAACATTATATAAATATTAAGAGTATGGATCTACTTAAGCACAGGTCATGGGAAGTGACATTTGGACCATGTAACTTGTAAGTATATAAACTGAAGACGTCAGTGCTCTGCAGTTCAGTTCAACTGCAAGAATTCAGGTAAGAACAAAGAACAACATCGTGTACTTTGCAGAGTGTTTTGATAACCTCTTGATGGTTGTAGATGGGTATGTCCTGTACCACTATATCTTGATTAAGTCACATAGATTAAGCTCAATAGGCTGTCCATCGACGGCATTACAGTCGCCCTTAATATCTATGCTACTGTTTGCAGATGATATCATTATGTTCTCGTGTACAGTAAAATAAGTCTAAAGATTAATTAGGCAACAGGAAGGATACTGCAATTATGGATGCTAGATGTTAGCATAGATAATTCAAAGGGTTAATGGGTTCGTTAAGATAATACACTTTCACAGCTATTTTGGTCTTCACATCAATCCTAAATGGAATCTGTTTGTAAGGTTTTCCACAACTATGTATTCCTTTGCATTCACGTTACATTTTCTATTGTTTAAACAGTGCTGCGGTCAGCTATTCAAAGCATAGATTTTCTAATGAAAGGAATTTATTGGATGTGTATCTGAGAAAGTA